TGCTATGCAAGTGTAACTTCCTTAGTGACTTACTTGAACCATAGTTAGTAGAGCTTTTGACCACACGAGGGCAAGAAGTTTAATGTAATACAAAATGACTTAGGGCCTGTTTACATGGAGTGGGGGACCCCGGTCTAGTGGGGTAAGTTTCTTTTGTTTTCACGCTCTGGGGGACACAAAACAAAAGAATCTTACCCCACTAGACCGGGGTCCCCCACTCCATGTAAACAGGGTCTTAGAATTTAGTGTTTGCAGTAACGGATGTTTTGATAAAATAGCAACGTGAACTAGACCCCTCGGCGCCTTGCAACGAATTTAAGTTATTATTTAAAAGGGAAAGGGTGTAATTATTGTTCCCGTTTACCAGACCGTTGCTAACTAGTTATTTCTGCCTTAACTTGTCTCCTGCTACGCAATTTGTCTCAGCGAATAAAATTGACATCTGCTTGGGAGCTGATAGTCACAAGTAGTTTTGCCAGCTTCAAATTTTGAAATATTCTGAATATTCACTTAAGATGTGTTGTGAAGAAGCTAAACGTTTTCACCCTTAGATTCAATTTCAGTGTTTTTTTTTTTAATACAGTTGAAAATATTTCATGCCCCTCGGGGGTAATCCCTGGAGTGGCCTATCCACTGCTTGAACGCTTGTTCGGGCAACATTTTCTATTTTGCTTTTAGTTATTCTCTATTTTTGTGCCATTGACTCAAATGTAGACAAGGAAACGAATTTTTTTCTCAAAAGGTTAAAAAGGAGAGAAAAAGCTGAAACGGGGGCAAATGTCGTTCTGCTCAACTTTACTTAATTAACGAAAATAGAAAATATCCCTTTGTAAACGCAGTTTCTCTCATTTTCATGAACAAATTGCCCTGGAAAGTAAAACAACTTGTTGTACAGTTAGTGGAGAGAAGGTGCCGAGCATTGCAGATATCTTATGATCCACAACTCGGGTTTTGGCAAAGTTGTAAAAGCTAGTTACAAAACTGTGCTGCCGCCCTGAAAAAATTCAGAAATTCTTTACTGATCCTTATTTTCTCGAGGGATTGTTTTTGGCTGGATTTATTCGTGCTGTGCGGCGTAGAAAGCTTTGTCAAACAATATTTCCAGCTGTTTTGTCCAAGTTTCTCTCTCCTTTCTCTTTTTTCCTGGTTGACTAAATTGACAATACTGAAAACGAACTTTTTAAATCTTGTAGTGAGTGCGGCTCCAGTTTGAAAATCAGTCGCAATAAGCTAAGATATAAAGATCTTTGACAAACTTACCAGCCAAACGAAGTAATAAGAACATTAAGGTAAACAACTGCGCCATGCCACTTACGTCTTAACGCAGGTGCGCTCATGCACTCACTTAACAGACTGTCCCAGCTAAGGGACCTTGAAGTAAACTTAAATGCTCGTTATACCTGGGTCACGTGACCACAACAGATTACGCACTGTTCCCTTTCCTGTAAAAACCCGCAACAAGTGGTTTATTGTACATAATTGTCATCATTATTTGGAATGACGAAATTGCGATATTTTTAACCTTGATATATAAAAGCCGATTTCTCGCTGAATAAACTGCGGGTTGCAAAACCGGATGCAAACTCATTGATTACACGTAAGCACTTTTTCTCCTTTAGACCTGTGACCATTCAGCTCCCGTTTTTTAGCGTTAAATGAAAATTGAACACGGACCCAAAAATGAATGGTCGCTAATGTCACGGTCAGGTATAAGTTAAAAACGAAATAACTAAGACTGGTGTTTTATTTGCGAGCCAAATCAATTCGTTCGCCGAGTCGAGTCGTCAACTGACACTTAACCCTCTGTTTTTATAAGACTTCTTGATTAATTTGCTTTTAAGAAAAGCGTGTGCTATTTAAATGAGCCAAAACTGTTATTTAACAAACACTTACCTCCTAACGGTTCTTTTCTTTGTGCTAGTCGAACCAAAGATCCGAAGCTGATAATTAGGTTTCCAATGTTCATATTTCCGCAGGTGCGTATTGCGATAACGTGGGGATAAGAACACGCATGTATAAAACAGTTAATTGATGTAATTTTGTTTTTCTTTTCCATCAAATAACGGTTTCTATACTTTTAAATTGCTTTGAAGCCCGAACAAGCATTGCTTTCAAATGTCACCAATAAGCCGCCCTGTTAGTGCAACAGTTTCTTTTTTAAAAAAATTCCGAGAACTTTTTGTATGAGTAAACTAGAAAAAAATTAAGATACTGAGATAAAATCAAGGCCTTTGGAAAGGGAAAACAAAATTGACAACAGTTCAGCGTGGTTCTCGTAGTTTTTGTTGAGATTCTACACAGTAAATAAATTTTTGCCTTAGGGGTTTTTGATATATATGTGATTGAAGTACTTCGGTTATCATATGCGTCGCATACACTCACGTACCAAGACGAGAGCTTAGGGAAAGTAACTTCGGCAGTGGTGGCCTTGTCGTCTTAAATAGAATACTGTAGTTTCAACTCGGATTCAAAGAACCAGTAAGAATAAACTCAGCACCAGCTAGGACACTTTATTTTATAGCTTCAACATTTAGCCGTAAATTTTGAGCACAAAAAGCCGGGCCGCGATAACTTTCAAAACGAATTGTCAGATCTTAAGACGTTATTTGTATTGGTTCATGTCTGCGAACGTTTCGGTTTCAAGCATCCGGAAACCGTCCATTAAATATGCACGGAACGTATTTAGACACACACCGGAGGTGGGAAAACTACTTTCATTGCTTTCTCAGCTTCGTTTGGGCTTTTCAAAAAGGCAAGCTTTTCTCGTCGTGAGTGCGATTTTTCTACAATATCGGCATATGTGTCTTTCTTTCACTAGCAAGTCAAAGTTGAACAGTTAGAAACAACAGGCAGACCTCTGTTTTATGTTTTTTGACCTTCTGTTATTCCCCGTGGCGCTTATTTTTTCCGGGTTCTTATTTGTGCGATTTCTGCGCTTTTTTTAGCCTGCGTGCAGACGATAACTAAACTCTGATTAGTTAACCAGAGTTTAATTTCGTCTGCGCGCAGGCTACGCTTTGTTCTGTGATCCGTAAAAACAAGTTCCCTTGCGAAATATGATTATGTTGATTATTTTGAGATTTTTATGTTGCTTGTGGGAAAGAAAAAACTCTGAAAACAAAGAGGAATATGGGTGTGAATCAGAGCTTTTGACCACACGAGGGCAAGAAGTTGAATGTAATACAAAATGACTTAGAATTTAGTGTTTGCAGTAACGGATGTTTTGATAAAATAGCAACGTGAACTAGACCCCTCGGCGCCTTGCAACGAATTTAAGTTATTATTTAAAAGGGAAAGGGTGTAATTATTGTTCCCGTTTACCAGACCGTTGCTAACTAGTTATTTCTGCCTTAACTTGTCTCCTGCTAGGCAATTTGTCTCAGCGAATAAAATTGACATCTGCTTGGGAGCTGATAGTCACAAGTAGTTTTGCCAGCTTCAAATTTTGAAATATTCTGAATATTCACTTAAGATGTGTTGTGAAGAGGCTAAACGTTTTCACCCTTAGAGTCAATTTCAGTGTTCTTTTTTTGAATACAGTTGAAAATATTTCATACCCCTCGGGGGTAATCCCTGGAGTGGCCTGTCCACTGCCCGAAATTAAGGGGTACCTTTTTCAGTCGTCAGGCATATGAAAGGGTAGAGCTTTCACGAGCCTATATATATATGAAAGGGTATAGGTATATCTGTTAGGTATTTACATGGGTCCGGCACAACGTAAACTCCGGCTTAGCTTACTTTTTTTAACCTTTCTGCAGGCACAAGTTGCTGTTCTCCCATAACATCGCCCATTGACTTCATTTTAAGGTTAGTAGAAATTAAGTGTTGCATTAATTGTTTTTAAGTTGGTACTTTTTGTTGAAGGTAATAGGACAAGGGGATCCTTTTCTGCCATGAGCGTAGCCTTTGCCAGGCTCTCAGATAGTATAATGCGGACGTATTAAAACGAGCAAAGCGAAAATAAGACGCGCGCGACTTGGGAAAGGGGTCTCTCCCCAGCCCCCGCGCGTTTTTCGCATTTCTTTTTACTGAACGACTTTTCACCACTATCTCGGAGCCTGGAGCAGGCTACCATGAGTGGTGAATACAAGGGTAAGGGGTTGGACTTCAGGGCCCAGCCTTCCCTCACGAAACTTTGTTGTGTAATCCACTCTAGTATTTCATGTCGTTGCTTTCTAATTTATTTTCCGGAAGAGTTGATTCTCTGAATTCATTCAAATAAATATAAGCACATCGTATTATTCTGGAAAATATTAACCTAAGATCAGGCTCAATTTTCGTTTCGCTTTGTAATAACATTCCGGCGGGCAAGGCGAAACGAAAACAGCCGTTAGAGAGAATGTATGAGAACCGCTAAAATTGGGGCTGATCTCAGGTTAGGAAAATATGCTCTTGTTGAGTAGAGTAGTTGTGGAGATCTAGATTTTATGGGAGATGAACCTGGCATTATTTTTGAGACTGGGAAGGGGGATTGTTGCAAGAATTTACAAAACCGCATTTAAAGCAGTCAATCGACATTCCTAGACATTCCAGCCGTGAAACGGGGAATAAGCCTCTAGCACGGGTAACGCTCGCTAAGCGTTCCCCGCCTTCCCCGCCCGTATTAACCCTTTAAACCTTAAGATCAAAATTTGAATTCTCATTTGTTGCCCCTATTCATTTCCTACAGAAGTAGAGGGGAGAAGTTGATAAAATATTAAGCAAATTCATCTTCTATGATCATCTCCATAATTCTCATGACCACTCTGTTTTACAAAGCATTGATATTACAAGGAGAAATTTGATGCTGATCACTCTTAGGGCTTAAAGGGTTAATAACATTGCCGTCAATCTCCTATACTGTACTGACGTCATCTTACTAGATATCGCAAGCGTCACGTTGTTGTTCAAATTATGGTCAATGTTAGTGACTTATGAAGAACTAGCTGGGGTACTGTAAGCTAATCAGAAACGGAGAAATAGTTTGGAAAATAAGACCAAGGACAGAAGATAACCTCTTGGCATTATTTTATTATGTCCTTATAACTCAAGAAAGTTTGTAACTATATTATTTTGAGCCTCTTCAATCTAAGCATCATTTGACAATGTGTTAAAGGGCTATGAAATGGCAGGTTGCGATTTTTCTGAAACCAAGTCGATCAAAGGAGCAAAAAATAGACACTTCCATGATCACTATTAGTGCACTTTGTCATAGTTCCGCAAGTCTGTAAAGGTGTACTTGCGTACTGAAAGTATATATAATGTTGTCTTTGACTACTGATATTTTTGTCGTAGAAAAGACTACAATGATTAGACTCCTTCTCTAAGTTTGGTTTTTGACACTAAGCCCCTCCCGGATAATTATGCTACATACAAAGTTTTCATGGATGAGTTAGATATCCATCAATCGCGCCAAACCACATCTCTCTAGCTCCTTCCAACTGCGTTGTATGGCATCCCATTTACCAAACTCATTTCGGGTATGCCTTGTACCCCAGTGCCACCAGTGCCGCCATTGATAGAAAAGGCCGGCACTCAACTCCAGGGCGGTCAGGTTGACAGAGAGACTCGTGCACCATTGACTCCCAGGAGAACGGTTTTCTTGGTAGGACAGTGTCACAGGAAGACCAACCCTTACCAATGTTCCATTGCCGTAGACACCTCCTCGGATAATATATGCCGACAAATATCCTTCAAAGCTTACTGTAGCACCGGCCGAAGGGTCAATCTGGCGAAAGAGCAGTTAAATGATGAGTTACAACTATATTGTTTGTGAAGGACAGGATATGAGTGTACCTCTCGGAGGATTGGGCAGGGAGTAATGGAGGACTCACCTCTACAGCCAAATTAACAGGATTGAGAGAATTCTGTTCCATAGGAAACTTCAGCTGGATTGAGACGTCAAATGTTAGGCTGAACTCCACCCGAACACTCGAGATGAAAACAGGAACATGGTGAGGCTAAAAAATAGAGGGAAAAAAACGACCCTCGCGGTTACTTTTTTTAAAAAAAAGATTACTTGTTATTTAGTAAGACAAAAATAGCCCTCGCGTGATGCCTTACATACATACATACATATCCTTTATTTAAACACGATATGATTTAAAGCTTTGTGGGGGTCGTGTAAAAATGATTACAAATGGAAAACTATATAAAAAATAAGAATAACATTACTTACAAAATACAACTACAATTAAAACTCTAAAAATATACAATAAGATTCTAACCAGAAAAAGTACAAGGTTAAAATGAATTTACATTAGTTACCTCTAAGCAAATTGACTACAGCATTTAAAACATAAAATAGTTAAAAGCATTTAAAATCTTGGTAGTGCCTGGGCAGCGACTGGACCGACTGTGCGCTAAAATCAAGTTCCTTAAAATAAGAGTCCTTCTTCACTTTGCGATAAAAACAGTAAACTGGTCTGTAAAATGACTCGAGACAGCGTTCCAAAGAATAGCGCCTCTGTAGCTAATAGAGTTTTTAAGAAACTGCGAGTTAAAACGCGGGACGATTATGTTATTACTCCTTCTGAAGTTGTATGCAGTGCAGGGTTTATTTGTCAAGTATGAAAGAGCCGTAGGTGCTTCACCTATAAACACGCTGTGGAGTAGTTTAATTAATCGAAGTTGATATTTTATAATAGAGGGTTAAAGTATTCCAGTTCGAATGTCGGGAAACTTCCTCAGTGGGCATATCTCGGGGCAAGTTGTATATTATTCTGGCTGCCCTACGGTGAAGTACTTCCAGAGAATGTAGAAGGTCCGCATTAGGGCAGCCGCCCCAAAGGACTAGTCCATATAGAACTGATGGTAATATTATCTTGAAGTACAAGTCCAATAGGGCGTTTCTGCTCAAGAACGAACTCCTTTTCAGGAGGTTCAGTTTGTTTAACAAATTCTTTTTTACATCTGTAAGGTGATGTGACCAGGAAATCCTGTCATCGATAGTAACGCCCAAAAGACGAGAGCGTTTCACCCGCTCGATCCGATCCTCTCCAATAGTCACAGAATTTAGCGGCCCGATGTGCGGTTTTCTCATCAACAGCATAGCTTCGCACTTTGCCGAGTGAGGGGTTAAGAAGTTCTCTAGGCACCAACTGTTCAGTTCCGATAAAGCTTTATTTAAAGAAGTGACAGTGTTATCAACAGTGTCCCCGATGCAATAAACGGTGGTGTCATCTGCGTGCATAAAAACAGAGCCAGAGGTAATAGCACTTGGTAGGTTATTGGTGTACAAGGCGAACAACGTTGGGCCAAGTACTGATCCTTGGGGAATCCCGCAAGTTACGTTTAGCACAGTTGAGTGCTGGCCGTTTACTACCGAGAATTGAGTTCGATCGTTTAGGTAGTCTGTCAGCCATGATAGAAGAGAATCTTGATTTTGATAAAACCCTTACTTATATCAAAACCCTCGGAAATGAAAAGCGATGTTTAGCAACCAGACGACATTTCTATTCATATTCACTAACACGGAGCTCGTGTGGCATATTTGGAAAGTAATCTTCTAAGGAAGTCTCTGGATCATGATCGGAATGAGGATTGATTTTAACTATATTTCCATCGGGATTCGTGCAGTAGGTAGCCTGAATGAACAAGGTGTAGTGCTAAACATGCTAAATCTGCACCAAAAGCACCGTCCCTCCTAAAGTGAGATGGGCAGTTACAATACAAGCACTAGTTATTGGGCTGCCTGTGGCAAAGCACAATCCAAAAATGGGCGTCGTCGTCTGGGCAGCAAAAAGACAAAATGGCGGAAGGATCACATGTTCCGTTTCCGGTGGGGCCCGACTACTAATGATTATTAATGGCAGGGGTGGGTCATTTCAGATAAAAAATGCTGGGAAGCATGCAGACTTGAAACAAAAACAGTGCTTCACCCTTGGAGGTATCACTACTTTTTTTATTGGAAGAAGGAGAAACCATGCGCCAGAAAGCTGCGAAAAATTTTCGTGCCTCAGGCAAGAATCGAACTCATGACCTCCGAATTCTAGATTGGACGCTCTAACCATTGAGCTAACGGGGCTCTAGTGTTAGTAAAGTCGGAATTCTACTATACCATCAGAGTGCACTACACTTCTCACTGGGAGCTAAGTGCACTGAACTTCTTGCTCATAAGGTATACAATGAATACCGCCTTAAAAGGGGAATCAAGTTAAAAATGATCTTTGGACTATTTTGATATCGAAAAGTTTCAATTTATTAATGTTCAA